TTTTGACTGAAGCTCTACTTTAATCATTTTCCTGTCTCAGAGAAACCATGCCAGTCACTACTATATCTAGAAACCTGGGTACATTACCCTTCAGTTGAGTTCCTTCTAACCTACAGGTGACCACCCTCTAAGCTGCTTTTTGTATTACCATTGACAGTATATGTACAGGAAAATAGTACCAATGCCAACAGAAACCCATGTACACAGGTCTTAAAAAGGTAACCATAAGCAAGCCATTGCAATTGGTGGGGTATCATCCAACTTTCTACATATTCATTTTGTCATGACTTTGATTATACAAAGGAATTCATGGGTGGCACAGGCATCCCACTTTAGGCAATCAGAGGAGGAAAGTGGATTACAGCATTAGCTGATCATTAAGGGTCCCTTAACACGGGCGTTCTGTATGTCTGTTTTTCATCTGTCTATTTACGTATGAAAACCGGACACCCATGTATTTCTGTGGACAAACAGATAGAAACTCATGATCATCTGTTCACATCCATTAATATCCGCATCCATTAACATACGTTTTTTTTGTACGGAAGAAAAATAGAAAAAAATGGAACAGAGGAAAAATGGATGTAAATGGACATACGGTCCATTTTTTAATTGGTAAAGGATGTAAAAAAACAATGTAAAAACTGAGGCAAAAATGATGATAAATTGATGAAAAAACTGATCTATTTTTCTTTCAAAAAATATGACTGAACTGACAAAGAAAACGGAATGCCCGTGTGACAGGACCATAAGGTTTTCTTCCCTTAGCGATGGTCATAAGACAACAGTCGGGTTTTATTGGTACGATTTGCATTTGTTTGGATATGCTCTTATCAGCCAAAAGCAGGCCTGCCTGGTGCCCCTACTAAATAACTCAGTCCACTAGTTCTGGTTTTTAACTGATTCACTTGTCACTATTTATCCTAGTGAAGCAACAGCAATCAGCCATAAAAATCCAACATAGCTAATGGATACCTCTAAATTTGATCTGATCATACAGGCAATATACAGTGGATAAAATTAGTATCGAACATGTCACCATTTTTCTAAGTAAATATATTTCTTAAGGTGCTACTGACATGAACTTTTCACCACATATTGGTAACAACCCATGCAATCTATACATACAAAGAAACCAGAACAAATACAATCAGAAATTAAGTTATGTGTAATAAAATGAATGTCACAGGGAAAAGGTATTGAACACAGGAAGAAAGGGAGGTGTAAAAAGGTACGGAAAGCCAAGACACCAGCTAAAATCTATCAATAATATCAATAGAAATTAGTCCTGTCCCTTGTCAGTGATGGCCTATAAAAAGGTGTCACACAAGAAACATCTCATAATGAGTAAAAGCAAAGAGCTCTCTCAAGACGTTTGCAACCTTATTGCTGCAAAACATACTGATGGCATTGGTTACAGAAGGATTTCTAAACTTCTGAATGTTCCAGTGAGCACTGCTGGGGCCATATTCTGCAAGTGGAGAGGGAGCTCCCATATGGAACAAAAATATATTTGAAATATATTTTAAAAATATTCTTCCCAAATATATTGACATCTTTTTTATATGTTGAAAAAAAATCTGAAGAATATATTTTTTAAAAAATATATTTTTAAAAATATATTTCTTTTAAATATAAAATTCAGATTTTTTTTTCAACATAAAAAAAGCATTTTAACATATATTTTTACATATATTTGTAGATTTGTATTTTTAAAGACATAAAGTTAATTTGAAGTATATTTTTAAAAATCTTTCATATACTGTATTCTGTAATAAAAACGCATTTCAACATACACTATATATATATATATATATATATATATATATATATATATATATATATATATATATATATATTAAAATATATTGAATACAGCCAAAATTGTAGCATTTCAAATATATATCAAATATTTGAGAAGAATATTTTTAAAATATATTTCAATTATATTTTTCTTCCATGTGGGCTATAAAGAAATGATCTGGGGATCTTTTTTAGCATATCTCTATAGGCATGATGTTGGATCTCTTTGAAGGGGATCTGTAGAGGAATGATGTTGGGAGCTTTTTGCTGGAGGATCCCTGTAGCAGTGATCTGGGGATATCTTTCTAGGATGTCTCTAAAAGAATGATGTGAGGATCTCTATAGGAATGATGGGGGATCTTTTTACAGAGGACCTCTATAGGAATGATATTGACAATATGGTGTTTTTATGCCAGAACAGATTGCTTGGAGAGCAAAATACATATTGGCCCCACCCGCTTTGTGAGGGTCTGTTGCATTAGTCTTTCATTTTATTGGGATAATTTGGTTTATTATATTGCTATTGTTTTGGAAATTTGAATAAAGTTTGTCAGATTTTGGAAATGTAAGTTTTTTTCTTTATTTTCTTAAACTTAAACATTTATTTTAAATATAGTTTTTGCAAATGTGCGCAACAGAGACTGACGCAGTCCGCCATTTTGTTAAGAGTGTCCATTTTTCTCCCCTCACTCCCTCCCCCTCCCTCTCTGAGAGGAGACATTTGTCCAGTGTGTGTGTGTGCTGGTTGTGGGTCACTGGCAGGCCAAGGCAGCAGGGAACCCCAGAGCCATAAAACATCTCTGAGCTAGGTGCCTAGCTGTCTAGGCGAGCTGTACCATATCACACCTCGTATAAGATAAGGCAAGCTTTCCCCGGGAGTTTCAAAGAACATTCCCAGGAAACACGACCAGATAACCTTGTGTTAAAATCCATTTTCCCCTATGTCTCATATCTTGGAATATGAGAGACTTACATAAAAACCAGACATATTGTCAGATGGACGATGAGCAGGCAAACAGTTTGATGGGTCACTCGCCTTGTCTCGGACACACAGGAAAGCAGAAAAAAATTCTTGTGAACCGCTCAGTGTACACTTTCATAATTCATATCTAATCAATCCTCAGACTTGTCTGCATAATAATCTACCCGCGGGTGGAATGTCACTTGTGCATAGGAAAAGTTATGAGCCCAAATATGAACTACACGAGATTTTGGCTCTAGTTTAGGTCGACACCCAGACCTCCACGCCTACACGGGGTATTGGTCCGTGGCATCAGAGCCACCCCCTGCTGGGGACTACAAAACAGGCTCTCAGGCCTAAGAGTTGTTGTTGAAGAATTCTCCCATTGACCATCGTAACATAGGGAGATCAAAGCACCCTTCTGCTCTGAAACTTGGATGTGCTAACCCAGGACTTTGGCAAGCACTTTAACCCTTTCACCTTTCTCTGATATCTCTTTACTGTGCTATGGTTCTCTGCATATGTATATATATATCTTAGGTACATCTTTTTCTGTAAATATTTTTATTGCACCCATTTGACCTTTTAGTAATAAATCTTTCCTTCTGAAAGTGTTGAACTGTTTCTATAGCGCTTTATTGCAATTTACGAATTCCTGCCTCTAAAGAGAATGCTACTGTGTTTGTTTAAACCTCTGTATAACCGGCCTGCCGGACCGTTTTATACAGACGATTATCTCAATCATTATAGTGTTATAGCTGATAACGCTGCGTTTCCTCTTTCTCTGACAAAAAGGAGGTGGTGGGAGTGTGAAGAGTTAATTGCGTAATTAACCTGACCCAGTAACAATCGCCCAGGCTGCCGGTACATCGATGGTGGTCCATTAGCTGGAAAATCGTTGTGCAGGGGGCAGCTGGGTTTGGCATTGTTACGCACGTCACATCGCGGTTCTAAATCGGCTAGTCCTTCGGTCACAAGTTTGGTGAGAAGATCTGGGGTCTGACACCGCAATCATGACAATAGTGTAGAGAAATTCTATAACAAATGCATGTAATGTGGGCAGTGCAATATGTGGATGGGGTTTTATATGGCTGTGGCTTGAGTGTGGGTGGGGACACAGGAGGTATGATTGCCCCTGCCCTGAACCTTTTGAAGCTCTGCAATTAAGCATCATAAAAGCATACCCCTAGACCAGGGGTGTCAAACTCCATTCCATCGTGGGCCGTATCAACATTATGGTTGCCCTCAAAGGGCCGGTTGCATCTGTAAGACTAGATGTCCAGACAGAGCACCCCCCCCCCCCCCCATACATCAGATGTCAAGAATCCCACACCCTCCCTAACATCACTGTGCACCCCCTTTGGGGCAGAGCTGGAAAGCAGAAAGTGCAGGGTCTGGAGAAGGACAAGAGGAGAAATGGAGTCAGTTACCAGAGTTTTGTTCTCCTCTCTGCTGCTGCTGACTGCTGAGACAATGTGGGGGTGAAGACAAGGGGGTAACTGCAGGAGAGGTGCAAGGGCCACATGAAATGTCCTGGAGGGCCAGATTTGGCCCACGGCCCTTGTGTTTGACACCTGTGCCCTAGACCAGGGGTGGGCAACTGTGGCCCTCCAGCTGTTGTAGAACTACAAGTCCCATGAGGCATTGCAAAACTGACAGTTACAAGTATGACTCCCAGAGGCAAGATGGGAATTGTAGTTCACCAACAGCTGGAGGGCCACAGTTGCCCACCCCTGCCCTAGACCATTCATTGAGCTAAAGGAGTGACTGTGACTATAGGGCAACTACTGGGAAAAGAATGCTGAACATCTATTCAGCAGTCTCTGCAGGGGTAAGTGTAATGTAAAACATTTTTTTTTCTACTAGCAAATAACAAAGTTGACTCTGTTTGAACAGCTTGTAGTAAAAGTTCAACTGTCTGCTCATGAAATCACATATTCGTTTGATCATGAAAGTTCGTATTATCCACAGACTAAACATGCCCAATGCACAATTCATGCTGGCAATCCAACAGTCTATGTGCAACAAATGATAACAGCAGATCTCGCAGGGTCACCACAATCAAGCATTTGCTAAGTCAGGTTCAGTTATTTTTCAGTTGTTCACTGAAATAGATTTGAAGGTAACACGCAGTACAAAAGCCTCATAAAAGAACATACAAAAATGCAAATACAGTTACACTGTGTGCTTTCAAAGTGCTACAGAGAATTAAGATTGTATGGAAAATTCCTTTGTTTTACATAAAAAAAAACATAAAAAAAATACAGCTGAAAATGCTTTTAAATTGATACATACCCACTCTGGCTAATATAACTCCTGAAAACAGCAGTATGATGGAAATGTAGGAGTCTGGCTGATCGCTGGCACGGACACTCTCAAACAACACAGTATTGTTAGTCCAGTGGATTGAGGAACGGTCTGAAAGGATAGGTTGGTTGATATTCCCTTGAGATGGATATATGTGGAGCTGATTTTGATGCAACTTCTCAGCATTTAAAGAAGAATTCATACCCGTAAGGACAGAGAAAATGCCCAAATCAAAGGGGCTTCCTGGAGCAAAGACTGAAAACACGCAAAGCATTAGACAACCAACATGGAGACAGCTGGATATAATTCCTGTGACCACTAAGCCATAATGTCTTCTTAGCTTGGTAAACAGAAAAGTGCCCATTAATCCTGAGATGGCGGAGACGGCCATGAGTATGCTAAGCAAAGAGCCACTGATCCCCTGAGTGTATGCATAACCTGTAGTGATACAGTCAAAGCCAAGGACTGTGGTGTACAAAAAGGCTAATCCCAAACCCGCTAAAAAGACAGACTGTCTGTAGTAGGATTTCCAGCCATCTGTACAGGTATGCAACATGCGGCGAAATTTCTGGAAGCAGACAGGGACTGATGAAGTGCGCTCTGCAGAAGGTTCTGGAGTCTGGCTTTTCTCTTCCCTTGATACAGTGGGTAGGGCTGGTGTGCCAATGAAGTCACCTATGACTGAGCAGATAGGCAAATCACCTAAAAAAAAAATAACAGATAAACATTTACTGATAACTGTTTTTCAGCATAGATGAGTCATTTAGACCATTAGGCACCAAAGAGACTAACCAGTAAATAAATGCCAAAACTTTAACTTCATATGGCTCATTCAAGTCAAACTAATTAAAAGTATAAAAAGGGATTGTAAGATTTAAATACATCAAACCATATACATTCCTTAACATGCAAAATCTTTATTACTCAAAAATATTATATCTAGATATCACTGGAAAACAAATAGCATTTTCAAGTACCAAAAGCCATTACAAATTATTAAAAGACAATCCTTTACTGTATGGGAGGTGTTCATTTACTTTCTTTTTGGCTCTATGCTTGTAATTTTGAAAAATGTTCAATAAACATATCATGGAACAAAAAACAAAAAAACAAAAATAAAAAAAAGACACTGTGACCACTATAGCTAACCAAACCTACTGAAAAATTCCACAACCAATCTGAATGATGCTCAGCTCTCATATAGAAGGACCTAGCATGGAGAACCCCTAATACCATTAGAACACATCAGCATAGTTTCAAAATTGAAAAAATAATAATCTAGTTGTCCCCAATAATACATTATTGTCATTGTAGACATGTAGTCACTGTATATTACAGTTATTGTACATTATAGAATTGTATATTCATTGTAGGCTGAAAAGGGGGGAAGGCATGCAGCCACAGGAAACACTTGTTGGCCCCCTCAATGCTTTTCGTTGGCATTTCGGGTGACTCAGATCTCAGAGCAGCATTATTAACCACCAAGTGACATAAGTTCCTGGGTGAGTCTGATGATCTATGTCCATCCAGAATTTTTACTGACACGCTACACGTAGTATATAGACTAAAGAAAGTATCAAAGCTTGATTTTCATAAACAAAATGATTCTCAGCTCTTAAAAATAGGTACTACTAAAGCTTATGGGGAAGTAATGCTAACAGCAGGTAACCATATATTAGTTTATGGTCATTTTCATTTTTATTAATACTTTTTCAACTTTTAGTCAGAACTATTTCTTTCCTTTTGAGTGGAGGGTCGTTTTGTTCTATCCTTATGAATATGCTTCTGCTAATGTACCTTGCTATGTTGGAAGATTTTCCAGTGAAGTCAATAGGAGTGACAAACTCTTTGGACAGGTATGAGCTTTGCAAAGAGTTAGAAGAGGAGATTGTTCGGACATGTCTACATCAGCAGTTTAGTGGGGTGCCGAAGTTTAAAGTGTTGTTAACCCCCCAAAAAAAAAAAAAAAATGTATATTATTGCAGCCTACTAATTCTTGTGGTGGCTGCATTGGTTTTCTTTTTTAGGCTTTTTCCCCTTTATTTTTACCTGTTGACTTTGCAAGTAAGTATGTTATTTTTCAACTTTCTTTAAAGCAGAACCAATTGAGTACTGTCCGTGATACTTTTTGTATTTGCACTAACATACAATTTTGAGGACAAGCTTTCGGGGTATGCCCCTTCTTCAATGTCCAAGCAGTACTGTACAAATCCTAAAGTTTCAGCAGAATGTTAGAAGAGATGAAGAAAAAAAAAAAAGAGAGGCTAGAGATAAGATACAGCCAAAGCGAGGGGGGGGGGATACTACACTCACACAGAGGGAGTCAAGCTAGCTAATAGTCATAAAACTGTTGGATAATGAGTGAGGAATCCCATGTCCAAATTAAGGCTGTTATCTCTTGTGTCAAATAGAATTGTCATTCTTAGTTCAAAAGTTTTTCTTTCCTGGATGGATTTGAAATTTCGTTTAAGAACTAAAATATTAAGGTCTCCCATTGTGTGGCCTGGTTGTGCAAAATGGTGTCCTACAGGTGTACAGAGGTCATCTTCTTTATGTTCCTTGATGGTATGTCTGTGCAAATTCATCCTTGTTTGCAACTTCTGTCCTGTTTCGCCAACATAAGATCCTTTGCTACATTTTCTGCACTGGATAAGGTACACAACATTACTGGAGGTATTGAAGATCCCTTTTGAGTGTCTGACACTTTTTGATGGATTGATTTGGTTGCACAGTTTGCAGCGTTTCTTATTGCAGGGTTTGCTTCCATTATTTGTGAAATCATAATCAGAAGGAAGTTTCCTACTGATTAGTTTATTTCTGAGGTTGGGGGGTTGTCTGAAGGCCAGTATTGGGGGTTGCTGGAATATTTCTTTCAGAGTTCCATCCTCTGTTATGATGGGTTGTAAATCTTTGATTATTTTTTCTTATTCCTTCTAGTGCCGGGTTGTATGTGGTTACTAGAGGTACACGGTTGTTTGTTTTTTTCTCTTTGTACTGAAGTAGATTTTCTCTTCGGGTTCTCAAGGCTGTGTTTATGCCGGTGTTGATAGTTTTGTCCTTGTAACCTTTCTTATGGAAGGCGTCTACTAGTGTCCCGAGATGTTTATCTCTGTCTCTTGGGTCAGAACATATTCGGTGGTATCTAATGGCCTGACTGTGTATGATGGCACGTTTTGTGTGTTGGGGGTGGAAGCTAGAACTGTGGAGGTACTTGCATCTGTCAGTGGGTTTCCTGTATATTGAGGTGTGAAGCGTATCATCCCTGATGTATACTGTGATGTCGAGGAAGTTGACGTGTGTGTGTTTGTAGTGAGTGTAGTAACCCCCCCCCCCCTCGCTTTGGCTGTATCTTATCTCTAGTCTCTCTTTTTTTTTTATTCTTCATCTCTTCTAACATTCTGCTGAAACTTTGTGATTTGTACAGTACTTAAAATTGTACGTTAGGGCAAATAAAAAAAGTATCACGGACAGTACTCAATTGTTTCTGTCGCAAATGCACTAATACGGCTACAATCACCTTTAAAGCAGAACTAAACCCTCCTATCCTTTACAGCCAAGGAAGCTGGCATCTTAGCTGTTGGCCTTTAGTAGTCATGGTGCTGCACACATTATCACCTATGACACCAGCCATTTGAGAGCTTGACAGTTAAGTTGCACGCTAACACAAGCACACTCGTAACATAAATATAATAAGGCATCCCTTCAATGTAACTGTGTTGGGAAACCGTTACATTGATGGGTTTAGTTCTGCGCTAACAGACCAAGCTGTCCTGCAAAAGATGGTTGAGACAAACCATTTAACACTGACAGGGGTGTTTATAATCAGGGGCGTATTTACTGTGAGGAAAACAAGGCGTTTGCCTATGGTGGCATTTTTAAGCTGCCCCCACCCTCCGCTGACAACCACCCAGCTGTCACTTGTCCTCCACTCCTCTCCCCCTGGGTGATCAGTAATTTTTTTCCGCCCATGGTCCAGCCCCACACCACCTCCCTCTGGGTCTGCCTGAAGAGAGATCACCAAGGAGCCAGAGAGCAGACATCCGGGCATAGCACAGCTCCTATCACGGGAGTTTAAGAAGAAGCTGCGGCTGGAGGAGTGGATCCTTGCAGCTCTTCCGTCTCTATGACTGCCAGGTGAGGGCAACAATCGTACATCTTTCTCTCGTTCTTTCTTCCTCTTTTTTTTCTCCCTCTCTTTCTTTCCCCCTCTCTTTCTTCCTCTATCTCTCTTTATTTCTCCCTCCCTCTTTCTTTCTGCCTTCCTCTCTTTCTTCTCCTTCTACAGCTCTTTCTTTCTCTCACTTTCTCCCTCTCTTTCTCTCTCTCTCTCTTTCTCTCTCTCTCTCTCTCTCTCTCATTTTGGGGGGGCGCCCGAATTTTGTGCTGCCTAGAGCAGCACAAAAACAAAATACACCAATGCTTATAATGGTCAGCTTTTTTCATTTATATAAAGCCTTTATCACAAAAGGAAATGAAAAAAACCCTATACCTGTAACTGCATAAAAGTGTCAAGTCCATCTAAATCTGAAAGTGCATTTAACTACCCTCTCCCCAGATTGATAATGCTGCTGTCCAAAGGAGTCTTCATTGCTCCTTCATCCAGAGTAGACACCCCCTAAGACAGGAGTTGTGGTACTGGCCAGATTGCCAGGTGAAAATAAAGGGAAACATTTTTGGTTTTGAGTTTACCAACAACTTTATATTGATAATCACATACTCTATACATCTTCACCCGAAACAATATCAAAAGATCTTTATTAAAGCAGAACTAAAGTGAGGTAAAATATTCTAGAAAGTAGAGCTTTCTGGTAGAAAAAACTGTCAACTTTCAAAAAACTCTTTTCCTGTCTGAGCTATATTTTTTGTGTGCTTACAAGCGGTGCATGCGCAGTACAGTGTACACTTTTGGCCCACTCCTAAGATCTGCAAGATGCTGAGAATGGTATCATTCCAGTGTGCATTCTCAGGAGTTACATTATTGGGGGCCACCCAATGCATGAAAAATGAATATTCTAGCCTGGAAGATGTAGAGAAAAAATGACTGGAGGCAGGCAAACCCAAGTTAGAGATTGACAAAAGGCCTGTGTATGGCCTGTACTTCTCAACATGTCATTCAAAAATATCTGCTTTCATGAACTAAAAGAATATTCCTGCCTATGCTTCAAGTGACAGTCATGATGATGCAATGGTGTGGATGGTCAGAGAGACAGCACATCTCCCACTAACTCCTCATGATCTCAAAGTAGAGTGGACACCACAACAAATTATACTGTCTTGCTTTGGAAATCAGAAAATCCTCTAAGTCCAAAAAAGCCAAGAAAACTGAGATTTATTTGTCAGTAGGTCCAAAGAACTCTGTCAATAGGAACTATAAAGAATGTTTTTGTGTACACTGGATTTTTCCAAACCATGGACATACCTTGCACATTGATAAGTTCCAGCTGCCTTTCTATATAATGCTCTCCTATAGATTGCTGTGGCTTGACAGCCAGCTGAGGTACCATTTTATAAACCCTGGAGAGGAAGATAAATTCAACAAGCAGTGACACCAGGTTCCATCCAAGAATGAATCCACAGCCAACCACATTGGAAGCCCAAGTCATGACCTGACCCACCGACAAGGGGGCGAAGATGTTAATGACTTGATCCATCCTTCTAACAGTTGCATTCATTCCTAGATTTTGGAAGTAAATAACACAGATTTACATGGACAGACCTAGACAAATACATAATCTTAATGTTTAATATGTTAGCATAAGATTTTATTTTAGGATGTTTTGCTGTTTGCTAGAGGTTGTAATATTTTCCCATTTTATCCAAAATTAAATAGATACCTTCTTTAATGGTTTCACCAATGAACTTCAGACGCTTTGCTTCCACCCATATTGTTTTATACAATGATAATTATTATTCAGATGACCATGAAACAAGACGCTTCCTTACTGTTTTATCTACTCTTTATGTCTGAAGTTAAAAAACCATGAAAAAATAAAACAAATACTGGCAACTGCACATCAAAGACTATAGCAACGCTAAAATGTATTTTGTAAATAACAGAATCTCTAACCCTATTTCAAAAAGTGTTTCATTGTCATATTTCCTTCTTTGACACAACGGGAAGTGAGAGAAAATATAATCAACAAGGACACAGCCATCATTATCCCTTCCCTGTTCTAGCCAAAACAAAAATGTTGAGATACATTTCCATTTTAAACTAAATCTTCTGTGTTGTCATATATTATTATGACAAATGTGACTTTTTAAGAGCGGAATGAGACAGGTCAACCCTAAGGCAGAAGCAGAAGTATGTCACATCTCATAAATTAACCATGATTTACTGGTTTGTGAAGTCTTCATTCTAGAATTATGAAACAATGCCTGAGACATCTATTAGCATTTCAAAGACATGCTAATGTTAAGAAACAGTAACCCCTACACATACATGCAGCAGAATGACAGCATATGGAAACATCAAAGCACATGTAAATGCAAGAACATCTCAACAATTACTGTGTAGCTGAATGTGCAATGTGTTCACTAATGTTAAAACTTGTTTTCCCAACATGAACTAAACAGATAATATTGTAGCTTTTTGTACGTTACATTTTCTGTCTGGTTTTTTTTCTATTTCTCTCTTATCATTACACAGGCCAACACACATTTTGGTGCCTTAAGGCCCCATTCACACTATCAATGCAGTTACACCTGCAATTTCAAAATGCTTTGCTAAAATAACAAATCGCACAACAGCATGTTCAGGTGCCTAAATGGCACCTAAAAACCCAGTGCGGTTCTGCCGTGATTGTTGTGCAATAAATCACGCTGCAATTGTGGCAAATACCCATGAAGCATGTCATCCAAAAGAAGCTCCTGAACGTCTTTTGGCCGACACGCTTCACGCGATGAGGTTTGCCGTGATTGAAGTGAGATTTTTCATGTGACAATAGAGGCAGAACCGCACCACATTTTTAGGTGACAATAGAATGCATGGCTCCTGACCATGCTGTTGTGCGATATGTTATTTTAGAAAAGTGTTTTGAAATTGAAAGAATTGTAGTAACTCTGTCTGCATATTTAACCAACTGACTCCAAAATCAGCACCAGTTTTTCCCCATCAGCTCTAGTTTTTGAGATAGAGCATAAATATCATATATCAGTCTTCACTCTGATTGCCTGTCAAAAATCAGGATATTTTAATGTAGTGTTTTTATTTAATTTCCTTGTAGCATGAAAGAAACACATTAAAAAAATTGCCATAGGGGTTGATTTACTGAAACTGGACAGGGCAAAATATAGTGCAACTGTGCATTGTATCCAATCAGCTTCTAATTTCAGCTTCAAGGATATCCATGTCTAAAGGTTAAGTGGAAAGTCGGGTAAATTGCCACCTAAACTCAGGCAGTGTGAACAAGTGTATTAGCAGTAAAAGGTTGCATATCAAATGTGTCTATTGCCTGTCGTAGAAGGACTTTTTACATGGGAGTTTTCTCTTGTTCCAGCTTTGGGTTAATAGAACTCTTCCAGAGTTTCAGGAATACAAGGAGCAGAGGCTTCCTCGGTCAGCAGTGAATAGAAAATACCATGCCAAGTGTGTCTGTGTATATGTAATTGGGTTGTATTTGAGTCATTTTAGCTATTATAAAACTCAAAGACATACAGTTATATATTTTTTTTATTCATACCAGCTAGTTGACTTCTGTTATCTCCTGTGATCACCACGATCCAATCTTTCTGAATGGTTATGGTCAATGCCGTGCTCGCAAGGTTAGCCAAGTCAGCTAAAATAATAACCACTCCATAGCAGAATACCTGTGAAGTACATCATAACACATAAATCAAATAATGTTTTTGTCCTTATAATGAGATTCTCAAGCCTTACTAAAGTGCTTGGCTTATAAAGTACTGTCTACAAAGTTTGCCATCTCTATCTTGCTAAACATAGATTGCATTTTCTGTACAAAAAGTAGAAGAAAATGATTGTGTTGTCCTTATCAACCAAGCATCATTTTTCTAGTTCTGGCCAGAGAACACAGGCACTTGAAGCAAGGATGTTAGGCTAGCTAGGCTTGGGTTATGGACTATTGAAATATTAGGTCACCATCAAAGGGAATGATACATTTTTAGGGTTTATAACCCATTCTAGTTTAGTGGAAACAAGTGTTAATATGTTAATTTTTTTAAGCCTTTCCTAAAGTAATCAACATATTATTACCAAGCATTCTTTAAAAGATTGGTAAACCTAGGTTTCGCTTTGGCTTTAGAACTAACATTAGAAAAAAATAAATGAATCTAAAGCAACACAAGTAACATACCGTACGACTATCTAAACCCAATGACACAAAACTAATATTTTGTAGCTTATCAGTCCTTAAATGCGGTGGCTGCATTAGTTGTCTTTTTTAGCCTATATTTTCATTTATTTGCGCACTTTAAAAGCACACTTTCAGTGCTAGCGTATCTACGTTCATCCACTTCTTTGTATCCATGGTAGCCATAGTTGTCACCCACACAGCTAATGTGCTTTGATTAAGATCATGGCTTTCTTTCTTCATCTTCATTACATGAAAAGTGAATTGATCTTCATCTGATAATAAAAAACAGTGCAACCACCACGTCCAAGGACAGATAATATAATAGAATTTTGTTCTTGGGTTATAGATTCATTGAGCCTTCAGTGCACTTCTGAACCCCCCAAAACTGCTTATGCAAATATGACTTTCTATTTTGCTTTCATATTTACCAGGTTTTGGAACAAAGGAATTCATCCAATGTGTCTATATCATGCCTATGCCTGGACTTTCAAGAAGTATGCGTTTACAGAAATTTCCTGGGGGCCTATTGTGATGCCTTTAAGGATAATTCTGGGATGCTACAGAAATAAATGGTATATTCTAGTGAATTATGGCTCCTGTGTTTGTATGCTAATATTGCTTTGTTATGACAGGTTTGCTTTAAAGAAGAATACTCTGCCTGTATGATATTTTGCTTATCCTGTTCTACTGAAAAGCCAAACTTGATGGACCTCAATGTCTGAGATCCAGTTAGGTTACACAAATAAAACACCAAAAGGCAGCAGACATGACAGTAAAATACAACCTATAGACCTACTGTAAGCCATCCATGCCATATCTGTTCTATTTCATTTTTATAGGAGAATACCAGCATCAGGACTATGCAGCAAGCTGTGACGGATGAATTCTGAATGAACAGTGATGCATGAGCAACTGCAGATAGAAGAAGGCAACATTGCATTAAAACGGTAGCTAGCTATGCTGGACAAAAGCCAAAGTGAAGGAAACTACTGCACTAAACATAGTACTAATGCCTATAGCAATCAATCAGTTTTCTTGTTCAGTTAATTTTTCCTATTGTATAAACTGACAGTGTAAAATAATGACATATTTATGTTTCAATAAATTCAATTGTATACAAATAATGAGGCAATCAACAAGGAGTGGCGCAGGCATAAAGTCCATGAAATTAAATTTGTTATATGGAATCATGCTTACAAGTAGAGTGTGTATACCAAAGTTTTTATCCTATTAAATCTATATACCGTATTTTTTGCTCCATAAGACGCACCTGACCATAAGACGCACTTAGGTTTTAGAGGCAGAAAACAGGAAAAAAAAATTCTGAACTAATGGACTGCAGACACAGTACAGGAGATGACCAGAGACTGCGGACACAGTACAGGGATGACCAGAGACTGCGGACAGCACAGGGATGACCAGAGACTGCGGACAGCACAGGGATGACCAGAGACTGCGGACAGCACAGGGATGACCAGAGACTGCGGACAGCACAGGGATGACCAGAGACTGCGGACAGCACAGGGATGACCAGAGACTGCGGACAGCACAGGGATGACCAGAGACTGCGGACAGTACAGATGACTGCTGACCTTTGGGGAGGTGGGGAGCGGGTACCTGAATTTGACAGGTACCCGCTCTTACTTTCGCAGAGTTTTTGTTTGATCTTACCTGTTCCTCGATCCAGCCGCGCGCTGTCTTCCCGGCTTCTGTAATGGCGCTCGGCATGACAGCCGGGTGCCCAGTGCGCATGAGCGAGAGGCACTTGCGCTTTGTGATTGGTCCGGTGGCTTCTGGGATCTGTCATGTGTCCCAGGTACCGCCTTACCATTCACAAAAAGCATCGCTTTTGCGCACTTGGCACCCGGCTGTCATGCCCAGTGCCCACACTACAGAAGCCGGAAGACAGCGCGCCGCTGGATAGAGGAACAGGTAAGATCAAAGAACAAAGAAGTAAGAGTGAGTACCTGTCAAATTCAGGTACCCGCTCCCTACCTCCCCAAAGGTCAGCAGTCATCTCCATAAGGTCCCGCTGCAGAGCTGAGCGGCCGGCCTGGTATTCTGACACGGCCGCGGTGGAAATACCGGACCGACCGCTCCATATTCGCTCCATAAGACGCACTGACATTTTCCCCCCTTTTCTGGGGGGAAAAAAGTGCGTCTTATGTAGCGAAAAATACGGTAGCTGTGGTGGCATAGTGGAAGCCAGTAGAACCCTGGCTTTACTCTCCTCTCCACTTGCACTTTTATGTCCACACCAGCCTTTCTCAACTGTTTCAACACAGAGGAACCCTTGATTTTACTTTCTGGTCTCAGGGAACCCCTGCTAAAATTACTATATCTACAACTCTTCAAAGTTTCTTCACACAGTGGTTCTGACCAGCTCCATGGATTGCTTAAAAAATGGCCTGGATTCTTTCCTAGATACACAGAATATAACTGGATACTAACATTTTTAGGTAAAGTTGATCCAGGGAATATCCAATTGCCTCTCAGGGGATCAGGAAGGAATTGTTTTCCCAGCAGGAGCAAACTGGATCATGCTTTTCTGGGGGTTTTTTTTGCCTTCCTCTGGATCAACTGTGGGTATAGGATTATAACTTTTTTCTTTTTTTAATGGTTGAACTGGATGGACTTTTGTCTTTTTTTCAGCCAGACTAACTATGTAACTATGTAATTTATGATACACTAGTGTGATGGTCAGTGGGAAGAATGCTCCTTACACCTGTGGATATTGGGAAGAATTACCCCTTTAGACATAGCTAAAAAGATCCATGGTGTCAGTGGGAACTTATCTGAGAGGCAGAAATTGCTCATTGCTCAGGGAACCCCTAGCAAACTCTGGAGGAACCCAAGGATTCCATGGAACCCTGGTTGAGAAACCCTGTTCCGCACGATACAGTGTTGTGCTTCCTAACTAATGAGCTTCAAGGGACATGTCATCTTCTTTGTTTTATTATAGTTTTATGTGCTACACTCTTTGATTTACACTGTGTGAGCATAATTTAATTGTATAGAATACACGTTTTGATAGACTTTACTATGACAGTATGCTCTCTGTTTTATCACAGTTCGTGAAGAGCAGCAAGGCTTGGCATTTAGCACCTTTACTGCAGTTATGTGAAAACTGTTTGAATGAATCCATGTGTTTGCTGACATAACACACTGTCATCTTTTCATATAAGTACTGAAGGTTGATATTGTCAAGTGACACTAAACTCAAAGGAGAGATAATGCTTATGTTCAGGGTGGTAAATTAAAGTGGTACTAAACCCTGGTTTAACAAATACTATCCAGGTATGTATTTGTAACTCACAAAAGTACCTACTATTGCTCTCAGCCTCCTCCAAACAAATCTCCAAATTACCTTTTTTTTTTTTTTTTTTGTTGCTGTGGTCTGACGTCCTGTTAGAGGGTGGCTACATTTGTTTTCCATGGTCCCACTGTATGGAGTAATGCAGGCACCCTCTCCTCTTCACTCTTGAGATGGACTAGGCACTATGAAATGTGTAGTGTGCATAGAGTAATACATGACCACTGCTAATGTACACTGCTCATTCCAAAACAAATGGAAGTATGCAGGAAAGGAGACATTACAAGGAGGCAGAAAAACACAGAAATAAACAATTTGATGGAGAATTGATTACATGACCATTAAGTAGCGGATCGGTATGGATTATTTTTGAAAAATAAGAATATTGTTTAGAGCCACTTTAAAGTAGAATCAAAGGCTAAACATCTGCCAGGTTTTTATTCCTGGTCATGTTCCCGTAAGGGAGATTCACCCTCACTATTTGTCCTGTTTACCATTAACATCGAGAAGGAAAGTGAAAGAAAATTTTGAGTTGTCTCCAGAACATGAATAGAGGGCAAATCTTCCAATGGGGAAATTAGTTCTGGTGACCCTGACGACAACAAGGGATTCCCTCACTTTGTATTTCAATGATTTTTATTAGTTTATAAACATGTAAAAAAAAACCAGGAGCAACAAGACACGCCCATGCAGAGGCCATCAATTGCACATAAAAAAATAAAGAAAACAGTGCTCTAACACCAACAGAGCAAAAGGTGCGCCCACGCAGGGGCTATCAATGGCACATAAATGACAAAAACATTGGTATAACATCGACAGTAACTCAAACCAAAGGCAGCTATCCACCCCCACACACCAAAAACAAACAGAAATAGAAAAGGAAGGAGGAGTACAAAATGAAAAAGATGACAAGGCCATGAGCAGGGGTTCGTGAACGCCAATACCGAGCAACATCACAACCCCAGACTAGCCGGGGGGAGCTTGGGAGAATTCCCTCACTTTGGAGGGATTTCTTCTTACTTCCTGCTTGAACTATGGGACAGGAAGTAAAGGGAAAAATCTGGTAGGGGTTATAACCCTCCCTACATTTATCCACAATAAAAAAAAAGTTGCCGTTAGTTTTGGTAGGAAGGGGTTAAAACCCCAATAATTTTTCTTTCTGTCCTGGGTCTATTTGGCTGCGTTTGTCTCATTGGGGAAATTTCCTTTATTTCCTAACAATGATTGGGACGGGGGGATGTTTTACCACCACTAATGATTAAAGGGGACTAATGCCACTGACCATCAATAATTTGGGGAAGGAATGGTTTACTACTGTTGTCCAATTTGGGGGATGGAAGGTTACTGCCACTGATCCTTTGTATTGACTGAGAAACTGTCACCTGTAGAACAGAAATGTGGTATTTTGTGGCATTGTAGCATATGATGGCAGTGTTTTCTGTTAGTAGGCCCAGACACTATTTAAAGCTGAACTAAAGAGGACCTTTCCTGTGGTCCCTTGGCAGTGCCAGCATCTTCTCTTGTGTGCTGATCTTCAGCCATCTTCATTAGTGGGTGCAGGATGACGTCACTCCTGTAAGAGACCAGCCCACTGCTGTTAGCTGAACTGCACATGCACACCTCAATTTACTGTCCCAGAGAAGACAGCGAGCAAGCAGGTAAGGGCATTTTATTGCAGAAGACACATTGTGAATACGTTCACACATACAGTGGGACTGTGAAGAACAAACGTGTCCACCCTCTAATGTGAAGCTGGGTCACAGCAGCAAAGGAGGAGGCTGAGAGCAATAGGAGGTATTTTACTGAGTTAGGGATATATACTTCATTAGAATTTGCATTTTTTAAACCAGAGCTTAGTGTAATTTTAATTTACAACCCTGAACATAAGCATGGGCTCTGTCTCTCTCTTATATTCCCTCTCTGGGAGAAACTATAACAATGTTCTCACCAAAACTGTCCAAACTGAGTAATTTTATGTAAATTATACATATATATATTATGAGAAGAAATCAGATCTGAGCCTTACTGCAATGCCAGAAGGTTACATAAAAATTATAAATATGCGGATTCGCAAGCGTGGACACCAAGATATAGAAATCATTTAGCAGTTGATTAAAAACGATTGTAGGAGTATTCTGTGACAGCGGAGGTAAGGCAACTAATGAAAGTGTTTCCATAGGAACAATTCTCAATCTAACCTTCTAATATGCACTAAAATAATTACAGTTACAATCTGATTGGTTGTTGCAGACAACATTAGAGCATATAAACATATGTATAATGGTTTTTATGTATCCTTTATTTATTAACCCATAATGCTTTGTAATTGCTATGCAATGGACCCTCCCTGGACTAAATGTTTATTAAATGTTTACATATTTAGATATAAAAGTCAGATAAAAAAACATTAATTTATATGTATAAACTTTTAATAAACGCACACAATTGGTTCAAAATCATTATAGTTTCCCTTTTGGCTTATTGTGCATTGTGACGACACACACTAAAACACATATATTACCACAATGCATAGCAAACTATGTGCAGTTTTTTGCAGTGCACCCCAATGCATTGTACAGTAGCCTCAATAAATTGTACC